GTTATTTCTAAACTGCCTTCACCTTGTGCCATTATTTTAATTTAGGACCAACTGTTCAGCCATATGGAGCGGTTTGTCATTCAACATCTGAATGTTCTTACAAAATATGAATTTGTCAGTGTGCTTTATGCTTTCAAATGTGCTATATCTCATATGGAAAAGACAAATCTTTTTACTTTATTAATGTTGTCATTGACTAACTCTCCCATTTATTTTTCCCATGGAGAACTTAATGTTGGACTGGGATGCTTTTAAATGTCGTAATGTAAGGAAATGGATACCCACATTCTACAAGTTAGCCTCACTTGAACCCATAGATAAAAACAAGGGCACCTTGCTGACCATTTTTGTGTTTCACGGATTATTTATCTTCATCCAATTGCATCTAACCTTAAAATACCAGGAATAAAAAAATATCACAACTAAAACTGGCACTAATTTACATTATGTCAGTCTGATTTCTGGCCTGCCTGATCTCTGCATTCTTGAAATTATTCGATGATTGTTTTGCTAAGGTACAGTCATTGTTTCCCATGTATATATATAACCTTTTGCAAGCTCATCATACTCCATTGTTATGAAGGAGAGGGGTGCTTATGCACCTCCCCTGCTCTATTAGTACCCAGTGGCCCTCTCCCTTTCCCAAATACACTTGCCTAGAGGTACAAGTGAGTCTAAGAAGAGACAGTTGGTTTCTCCACTCAGCTTTTGCTATTGGCATCTGGGAAGACCGCATGGTGAGGCAGTGTTGGGAGATAGCTAAGAGCACAGGTCTGGATACACACTGGTCCACTTAGCAACTGTGTACTCTTCATGTTACTTATCTGTTCTGTGCCTGAGATTTCTCATCCATAATATGAGATCCAAAATATTTTCACAACCAAAAACTTTTCATAACCCTTAAGGCAGCAACAACTCACCCCCCCTTAACTCATTTGCTCATGATCCTCAGACAGGAAGTAATGTGTTGTTTTTGTCTGTTCCTGAGATTGAATATTCACATCTTTTTTCTGCAGAAATATTAATGTATATAATTGTGGAATTTATCCTCAAGATTTTCAGAATGGCCCTGTGGACCAATAATATCTGTCTCATGTTTTTGTTTTGAGATTAAATGAGTTAATATGTATAAAATTGCCTGGAATAGTAATTAACATATTGTAAGTCCTTGATAAATGTTGGCTCTGATTTTTACCTTGTCTGCAAAGGTTTCACTTTCTTGCAAGGAATAATTCACTAAGGTAAGCAACGACTAAGTGGTAGCCTTTATCTTAAGCCTTGGAGACAGGTAACTATATTACCAACATGGCCACAATTCCTCCCTTTACATAAATAGTAGTCTTTATTAAATGGGAAATTAAAGTGAGATGATTAATAATGGAAGAGGAACCAGGCACTGAAAAATAATATAAGTTTGGTAGGTAAGGTCTCCTTAAGAAATGATGTTTAAGACAGAGTGTACCAGGTGAACAGATAGAAGACCGTTATAGTCCAAAAAGAGCTATATGAAAGAGATATGAAGTACTTGGATTCTTGTTCCCTTTGTTTGTGTCTCCTCCTCTTTTCCAAGTCATGGGAGCGGGTATTTCTAACTACCCCTCTTCCTAGGACCCAAGCTTGCCTTCTTGGGGAGGGTGTTTGGAAACTGAAGGCAAAAGGAGCAAGGGGGGATGTACATTCTCAATGTGTTACCCTGGAAAGGAAGGAGGAAGTGCTTGGGTTGCTCAGACCATGCCAATATCACCAATCTGGGAAATTGTTCCTAAGCAGGTGTAACATGCCTGGAGATTGTTCCGTATCCGTGTTGCAGGACCCATTCAGAGTGGAGCAGAAGCATCCCCCATCCATTCTGAAGCTGCTGCTTTGGGCATGTGTGGCCTAGGATATTGGACCATCAGGCTTTTCAAATTCCTTAGAATGAAGAGTAGTGTAGAATGGTGACCAAGAAAGACTACTTGAATGCAGTGTACCTTGCACAATACGTGGCATAGAGTAGGAAGCTCTGTGAGTTGCCCTTGTGTTTGGTTCTTGTGTAGCATATATTCATTTTACCATAAGATTATTTAAAGAGGATGAATATTCCATAATTTCAACTGCTTTATCAATTAAAAGATGAACAATCTCTTTTATAACATAAGGCGAAAACATTGATTCAGGGCAATCTTACAATTCCCAGTGTTGATAACATTTTCAATTTCAATTATTTTATATAACTCATAATTTTTTTACATTAATTTATGTTAACCTATAACTTGCTAGTTTTCCATTGTCTCCTTTCTGAATTGACTTTCAGCCTGTTATTCCTCACTGATACATTGACAGAAAGTAGAAAATTGAGAAATTATTTAAATTTATCTTTTTATAATTCGTGTTGATTCTTCTATCACATTAGTTGTAAGTACTGTTGTCTACATTGAAAAAGAGTTAAAACTAATAGCGTCAATGAAAGTTGTAAAAAACAAAAGGCATAAATTAATGCCTAATATGCATATGATATCAGCATTATTGTGAATAATTCATATTAAACTTTAAAAAATTCTTCTTTTTAATTAAGCATTCACTATTTGTGTTAAGGAGCTTTTCCAAGACAGTGTTTTTCACGAGCTTCTTTATTGTAGATTGCATTATCTGTCCTTCCCCTCCCCTTGCTGACAGACCCTGGTCCAGTCTAGGGTTTGCATTTCTGCCTCCACTTCACAGTGAGGGCAGCTGGCACAGGCAGGGAAGCAGTGATGCTGCTCAGAGTTCATTGTGAGAAACTGTAGCTGGTATTCCAAACTTACCATTATCAGGGAGAAATAACATCACTTCCTTAATGTTCCTGTCTTAAAAAGAAGGAAACTTTCTTTTATATGTTTCCAGTTTTTCAAATGTTTGTTCTTGTTGAAATTATGTCTCTGCTCAGCCTTTATATTTGACAGTCATTTTTTTTTTCTGTTTTCATCTTTCACTCTCATTTTTATAGCATTTGCCATAATTAGATAAAACAAGAAGTGAAAAATCTACTTTGGTGAGCTGAAATTAAAGTGGCTGTATGTATTGGCATTAACTTTTTTATGAAAGAGTTTTATTGGAAATCCCTGCATTGCGTAAAAATCAAATACTCATGCATTAGGCAAAGCAGCTTTCCCCAGAATGTTTTCTAGGACCACTTGGATTTCAGATATCCAGATTAACCGTAGTCCTTGTTCCCTGATCATGTCTCCTCATTATTCTGGATATGGCCTACTTTTATTTATTGTTTTTAATATTATACCACCTGTGAAACCAACACCTAAACAATGGCTAATTTGTTGATAATAATCAAATGGATCTCTTTTATCCCTCTGTGTCCCTTGTCTCAGGGAACTGTTTTCTTGAATTCAGCATTCACCAGTTCCTCACTTTCTTTCTTTATATTTTAATATCATAATAATGTATTTTTCCAAAAAATATTTTAAAAATTTCTTGTTTTTAATTCTCTTAAGACTGTCATACTATATATAATTTCTGACATATATTTTTGTACATGACAGTAGAATGTACTTTGACATCTTACATATATGGAGTATAATTTCTCATTCTTCTGATGGTACATGATGTAGGATCACATCAGTTATGTAGTCATATATGTACATAGGGTAATAATGTCAGATTCACTCTACTATCCTTCCTAGCCCCAGATCCCTCCCCTCCCTACTCTCCTCTAATCCAAAGTAACTCTGTCGTCCCCTCCATCCTGTTACCTTATTGTGAATTAGCATCCACTTCTCAGAGAAAACATTCGACCTGAATTTTTTTGGAATTAGCTCATTTTGCTTAGCATGATATTCTCCAGCTCCATCCATTTATTGGCAAATGCCATAACTTCTTCCTTCTTTAAGGCTGAGTAACATTCCACTGTGTGTATATACCACATTTCTCTTTATGCATTCATCTGTTGAAGTACACCTAGGTTGGTTGCATAGTTTAACTATTGTAACTTGAGCTGCAATAAAATGACATGTAGTTTTAAACCCATCACTCATTATACTACCACATTATTCTGTGTTATGTGTCATATTTTATTCATTTTTGAACTACTGTATAATAATCTGGGGGGATGAACCCATTTCTCCACTATCACTATTCGTTTATCCATTCTCCCACTGTTGGAGAGTTAGGTCGTTTCCAGGTGTTTATAACTGTGTGGCTGTTTGAACAATCTTATGCATGCCTCCTATTTTTACCTCTGATAGATTCTCTTAGGAATAAAATTGCTGAGACAAACAGTGCATGAATTTTCAAGCTGTTTTCCAGAGTGATTGCACTAGTGTGTACTCATACCAATAGGTCTGAGAGACATGGTAGATTGCCATCCACTTGGTCTCATTAGACTTTTTTTTTTTCATTTAAATGGGTATGAAATGATATCTTATTACATAGACTTAATTTTTATTCTTCATATTTATTTCTTCTTTTGTAAGATGCCTGTTCATAAATTTTTGTCTAAGATATTTATAAGTTGTTAGAAATCTTTGTATATTCCTGATACTAGTCTTTTGTTGGAAGGAAGTATGTGTTTTTGAATATGTTTTCCAAATTTGTAATTTGGTCTTTTATTTTCTTTAGTGACCAGTAGTTCTTCATTTTAATATGATCAAAATCTGTTAATCTTTTGTGGTCTTATTCCTTTTTGTGACTTTAGAAAAGCCTCTTTCTAAAAGGATTTGAAAAATATTTACCCCTAATTTCCACTAAGATATTTGATGGTTTACTAGAATTGATTTTTGTTAGCTGAGAGAAGTAAGGATCAACCTCATCTATTCTTTTTCATAAAGATTATTACTTTAAAATCTCCATTTATTGAACACTCACTTCTTACTCCAGTGGTATCACTTGTTGTCTCTGTTATATACCAAAGTTTCATAAGTGTATGGATCTACTTTGGACTTTTTAATTCTGTGCTGTTGTTCAGTTTTTGTGTGTGTGCCCATCTTTGAACATACCTAGATTTTTAAGTGCTTTGGTTTTTCCATTAGGTGTTGGACATAGTAAAAACAAGCATTCGTACAGTTCTTCCACGCATCTGGAAGGTAGCTGATGTTGAGGAAGTAAATTTATATCGGATTTTCAACCGGGTTTTTAATCGCTTACTCTGGAGTCATGGCCAAGGACTCTGGAATTGTTTCTGTGATTCAGGGTAAGTTGTAAGTCATCTCTTATTGTGTAATTTTTAAATATTTTACCATTTAGTTATAGAGGTAGTCCAAAAAAGTGGTTAAATTTCTTTGATAATCTGTAAAAATGGATTATTTTTACTGCATGTAATGTGGTAGTATTCACCTGTAATTTATATTAATTAACCTGATTTATATAAGATGATTAATATGAACATAACATCATGTAACTAATTTGAATTCAGTGGAGAGAAAGTAGTCTTAATTAATGAAAAAATTTAAATTACAAACCAATATCCTTAAATCTTTATGAAGGAGACTTCTAAAATTATGGCGATACCCTTCCTCCCCTCCAGAATTCCTGTGCTGCCCAAGTTGCTGTGACTCACTGTCATTTGGTCTTCAAGATATCTGAAACTGAAACACTCCATACTATTTCATTCAGAAATGTCTTCCCTTCCTGACTTCCCATAATCCTGATGTTATTCTCCTAATCATACAGGTGTGATGTTTCTGAGGTGTCTGCATCTTCCTTCTCAATGCTTTTTTTTAATATTTATTTTTTAGTTCTAATTGGACACCAAGGTATTGTACCTTTATTTTTTAATTTATTTTTATGTGATGCTGAGGTTCCTCAAACCCAGGGCCTTACATGGCTAGGCAAGCACTCCACCGCCGGGCCACAACACCAGCCCCTCAACGCTGTCTTTATTCACTCATTGGTGAAATCCTACCTGTTTTTCTGTCACATTATTTCGACTGTGGCTATTATAAATTGTTTATCATTATTCTTTCTACAGTCATCAACATTTAACTGTTGGGTAGATACTTTTGGAGATATAAAAGTGAATTTGATATAGCTGCTCCTCTCAAGAAGGTGATAAAAATAGTTAACAATGCTACTTATTGTAGGCCAGGCTCTGTTTAATCACTTTACATGTGTTTAAGTGGTTCATTCCTCATAGCATCACTTTGAATAAGGCTCTGTATTGTCTCTGTGTTATAGGTAAGGAATCTGAGATGCACCCAGGGATAAGGACCCAGAGTAACTGGGATTTGAACTCCATTAGCCTTGACCCCAAAGTTCATGCTCTTAACCAATAAGCACCTCTGCCTTTTGTAGACAAAATACGATGTACACAAAAGTAAACAATATAAAAGAGGCACAGAGAAAGTATGACAGGATTTCAGACAAAGGGTATCTTTTGATGGAAGGGCTAAGTGACATTAAAAGATTTCTAGGCATTTTTGTCTATAAAGTTTTGTTTTCCTTACTGTCTTACTGTCAGGGTCATTTCCCAAAATCTAGTGATTTCTCTCATTTATCTTCAAAGTCTAAATTTCTTATATATAAGTCTAATATGCTAATTATTTTTTATTTTTTTCAATCTTCTCTCTTATTACTCTCCTACTTGAACTCTGCTCTAGAAAAACAAACTCACTGGTTTTCCAATATTCTAAAAAATCTGTACCTTCTGCATTTTTCAAATCTTATATAAAGACTGAGACTAGACCCATCTCTTTTTAAAAGAATTTTGAAGTGCCCATTTCCATATTCTAATCATCTGATGCTGAGTCATTCATATCATTTGCAGACTCCTGACCATCATCTTTTTCCTCAGCTGCCATTCATTCACTAACAGGAAGAATCCATAAGGCACTCTGGGGTGTGATAAAATGTGAGCACAATCCTGGGAATAAGTGATTTCTACAGAGTGAAATATTTGAACCATATTTCACAGCCCCTTAATGAATTATTTTCTGTAAAAGATCTCTCAATCTGAATTCAAAATTGAATATTTTCTTTTTCTATTTGTTGATCCCTTGGTTTGATGCTGTATGTGGATCTCAGCTACTTTCCACTATGGATGGCAATGAGACAGTCTGATGCTAAGATTGGTGCTGGTGGCTTTGAGTTCCTACGCAACCTCTAGTATCAGGCCATAGAGATACTTGAGGAGTATACTTCCTTGCCTCCAGGGCTCAGCTTTCCTGAGCTAATTTGCTAGCATACTCTAACTCTTTTGAGAATCTTTCTCCTGTCCTTGGCACATCCCTCCAAATTTCACTGTTGGGTAGATACTTTTGGAGATACAAAAGTGAATTTGATACAGGTGTCTTTCACTACTATTAATGATTGTGATGGGCTCACAATTGAAGACCTACTGATACTGTTTTAGATGTTAAATACCTATAAAATCCCCACAAAATATTTTTGAGTAAACTACTATTATTATCCACACTTGACAGATGAGGAAATTAAAACAGAATATGTAGGTTGCTCACGTTCCCAGAGTAATTGGGTGATCCTACGTTTAAACCTGCGTTATCTGAGTCAAGAGCCTAGCCCTTAAAACTGTTCATTGACTTTCTTTGAAGTGGAGTTACCAGTGCCTGACAAGCTTGTTTTACTGCAACTCCAAATTCCTTGCCCATTTGTGCCTGGGCTGGTGGAGGAGAAATAGTTTTGACTTAGAAATACTCTACTCTCCATCCAGCTCTTTCAATTTTGTGGTTTGTAGAGGTAAATTTAACATCAGGTTTTATTTTGCAGCTTTACAAATGGGTTTCTTAGGCTTCCTTAATTTAATGAAGTCACTTAATACCATTTTTGATTCTCAGCTTGGATCCAGCATAGTTAACACTTTGTCCTTTGAATCATGTCTAATCACCATACACTCCTTTAACATTTGGTCTAACATCCTGTCAGTCAGAGTGAAACCCTATTTTTTTCCAGATCTGAAGGAATTGTTTTAATATAAGGCACAGCTCTTTCCCAGTTAGGTGTAAAATCTTGTGAAAATATGACCTAATAACTGGACCATCTTGATTTCTGCCTCTGTCAACACACCCAAGAATAAAACAAATTAAGCCATTCCCTGTTCACTTCCACAAACATCAAAGAGTAATGTAGTTCTTTTTGACACATTTCTTTAGAATTGGCTCATGAGTTTTATTGATGCCAAACAAAAAATACTCAAGGCTGAGCCGATAGCCAGGAGCCCTTCTATTACATGCAGCCCCCACTGAGAGTGTCATAACGCCCCACATTCCAAATATGATCTCTTCAGGGAAATAGCTCTTGGAATTTTTGTGAATAAAATTATCCACCAAGTTGTATTGGAAGAAAGTAAGTCTAGGATTCTGTGGAACTCAAATATAGACCTGACAGCTCAGGAAAAGTGGCTGTGGCTACTAGCATTTCAGCCGAGACCCACAAGAGGAATAGGAGTCAGCCACTTTAATGCAGAAGGAGAGGCAGTGGAACAGAGGAGAAGGAATTAACAGTTTGCAAACGCTAACTGTACTCAATCCCCAAGGTGAAACACCCAGGTCCTTTGGACCCTTTAGTCAAAAGTATTTTCTTGTGGGAGTCTGCCATGTAAAATCTTTCCTTTCAGAATTTTAGTGTACAAATACACTTTAAGGAGCATTCTAAGATAACTGTTGTTTTTAGGCTGCCTTATGCCGACTTGAATATACATGCATAAAATATGGACTACCTAAAATAATGTGAACCTCACTTTCAACTGGGGATGTTCTTGTTGGTATTTTTCAGCTTTCTGTTGGTGATCATTCATTCGGTTGATATATTGATTTAAAAAAACAAAACAAAACTTTCTTCTTTCTGGCCAATCAGTTTAGTACTTACTTTTACAGAGGAGAAAAGAATGAACCAGTTTCACTCTTCAGATAACTGCCTTATTAAATGTTTTGATGAGAAAGGGGGTGAAAATTATTGGATCACTGAACAATATGAGAATTTTTAAGTCTTTGGATTTTCATTACTTTTCCCCTTTGTTGTCAGACGTATTCCGTATTGTATATCTTATCATTATCTTACTAAAAAAGTCATTTAAAGTCATTCATTCACTGTCTTCTCTGAAGATTAAGGAACTCCCCAAAGAACTTATTAATCATTTTAATTTTTCTTTTTGAATTCATAGGTTTGGGTACTCCACTTCTTTGGAATTTAGATTAGAAAGCAGGCAGATGAGACCCTGGTTGCTCTGATAAAAGCACTGGTATTTTTAACTATTTCTGCTTTCTCTCACCTTTTAGCACTGGCGATTAAGAGGTGCTAAGGTGGTGTTTTGCAGGACACAGCCATGCAGGGTGGTGGGAGTGGGGCCTAGTGTGAGGTGCTGTTAGAGGCACAGGTTTCCTCTGTGCAGAGGGGTGCCATTAGCTTGGAGCTGGAACATGCTGGTCTTTCTCATTGTCTTTCTTCTTATTGAAGGGTTTTGGTTTGCTGACACTTGAACATGAATTAATCCAGAATAGAATAGAGTCTGTGGCTGGTAACGATGACTGTACACATAAGAAATAAACATATACAGGACTTTGATTCATATATTAATTTTAAATATTTTAAAAAGAATAAGAAAATGAGAAGCCAAACCTGGTTAGATTATAACTCATATATTACTCAGAAAATTACATCAAACTAGGGTGTTAAAGTAGCCCTTTTGTTGTTCTCCCACTTTGTTTATTCTTTTTTCTAACTCTAAACCCCAAGTTAAGAAAAGGAAAAATTACCTTAATGTGAGTGACCTGATAGTAGCTCTAATCAAATGGCTCCAAAGTATAAAAATAATATATCCCTGTTGAGAGTTGATGGTGGTAATGGAGGTAGACTTTTATAGACATACTCAGAATTCTGTCAGCAAAGTGCTAGGCAGGTAGTCAAAACAGGATGTTTTCTCTGTGTATTTACATTTATATAATTTTTTTTATATCTGAATCCAGAGATTTAAGACCTGGAAGGTTATGGAATATTGATTATAAATACAAATTTTCCCTATTTTTTTTCAAATTAGGTAAGTTTATTTTCTAGTTACCTATCTTTATCTTGATGAACATATGGTTTTTCTTATATTTAGTAATATTTTAAATTATTTGAGTTAATTTAATTAGCATATTATTGTTTATTGAGTGACAATGACTGTTACTCCTCTGTTAAGGAACAAAACACTTATTATATATATATATATATGCTCTCTTTTTGGGACCAGGTTTATCCTGAAAAGGAGAAGAAACCATTTGCCTTTCTAATAAAAATACCTTTCTGAGTATCTAAGGCACTTGGTAAAATTCTAAATATCTCAAATAGCCACAGAAGTTTGAAAACAGAGTTTTTGAATTTTCCATTGGGAAGTTCATTTTATCAGGAAAATATTTTTCTTAATATTTTTTTCTAACAATCTACTGTTTTCTCTCTAAGGACTACATGAATTGGTTTATGTAAAATGAGACTTGAACCATTATCAAGTCTCAAATCACTTTCTCCTCAAGGCTGAAGAGTTTCATTTACATTAGAGAATAAGTTTCTCTCTTTTCTTGGGTGGCTGGGTGGGCGGTGAAGTCTTTCCTGATTGTTAATACACACACACACACACACACACGTACTTGAGGTTACCAAGGAAGTGTGCACTAGCTCTTGCTTTGGATTGAGCCAAGCATACTGAAAGAGGAAGGACACTGACTTTAGGATTGCTATGCCTCCACCTGCACTGCTGAGCCCCTAGAAACAGGCTAGGGGTGATAGGGGATTAAGAAAAACACTCAAACATTAAGAGAGAAAGCTGGGATCAGGTGGGATACTGATCTCTGGTTGAGAATAGTGATCCAGAGCTGGCTCAGCATGTTTATTATATAGGTTTTATCATTCAAAGGTTATTTGTGGGAAAGTTTCAGCAAAGCAGCGAGGCTTAAAGGTCACAGCACTGAAGAAACATGTTGGTTTTCTTGCTATGCTCAGAATCCCCTATCCCTGGGAGCTAGTATCTGAGTTTCAAGGTCAAGACTGATAACTCTGAACCTGTGCAGTTTCCTCAGGCAGGGTATCACCATAGCAACTGGGCAGTCTTAACCTGTACATTTTTTGGTGGGGGTTACTGGGGATTGAACTCAGGGGCTCTCAACCACTGAGCCACATCCCAAGCACTATTTTATATTTTATTTAGAGCAGGGTCTAACTGAGTTGCTTAACACCTTGCTTTTCCAAGGCTGGCTTTGATCATCCTGCCTCGGCCTTCTGAACTGTTGGGATTAACCTGTACTTTTGCTGAGGGGGTTCCCAGTACAAGTGCACCACAACCACGAGGCAACCAAACACCTTGATCCAAATCACTGCTCCCCACCTTGCAGTGTGTTAGTACTTATGGAGATAATGCTACTTCTAGAGCACAGGACCTGTGCTCTGGGAATATCATGGATGTAGTCTTAAAAAGGGTTTAACCTAATTGTCCTAGTGCTATGGTTCACAGATTAAATTGCATCAACTTTTTAACCCCTTTGTAGGATCATTATTAGTGTTAAGGTAAATACAAATTCTTAGAAAACCTAAATTCCTAGAATACTTAATTTTTGAGAAATCAGTTCAGTATTTTACAAAACTATAATATGGAGTAACTCCATTTTTTTTTAGGAGATGTTGGAAGTCATCCTTTTAGCTACCAATGATTGGAACCACCAAAGTCTTTAAAGACTAATAGTACATGAATTTGATGTTGGTTCTTTTATTATATAAAGATTAATTTCCTAATTAATTTGTATTTCTTATATACTTTTCAATCATCTGTATGTATTATAGATGTGTGAGAGTATTTCTAGCTTTCTTTATTGGTTTGTTGCTAGGTAAATGATATAGCTGGTTGCCATTTTTAAACGTGAACACGAAGTCATGTCTGTTTCCATGCCAACAGATCCTCCTGGGAGAGTATATTCAGTAGAAGCCCAGAGATGGTAACTCCTTTGCAGCTCCAGTGTTGCCAGCGCCTGGTGGAGCTTTGTAAACAGTGCTTGCTAGTGGTTTACAAATATGCAACCGACACAAGAGGATCACTCTCAGGCATTGGTCCTGACTGGGGTAATTCCAGGTACTGTTTACATTCTCTATTCCCTGAGATCTTGATATAAAATAATGTCACAGTACAGTTGGAAATTGAGCATTTCTTTTTGCTTGGATAGGTAGGGATAAAAGTCTAAAGGCTAAAAATTACACATGCAATAATCGACAAAATATTTTTAAATGGCACATCTTTTCCTTTAAGGGACTAAACAAGGACAGCAATCACAAACCTGGACATGAGGGAAACAGCATACATGGAAATAAACTTATTTGGTTTGCATACTTATTTAAATACTTATATAAACTTATTTGGTTTACAAAATGCAGTAAGAGCATCCAAATATGTGGTAATAAATTCAACTTTTGTTTCCCAGTAGGGATATTTGAACATTTGTCCTGGAGCTTTCTTTATGGGGAAGATGCCTGTGGTTTCATCTTATTGTTCAGAAAGCCTTCACTACTCCCTTCAACACCAAAAAAAAAAAAAAAAAAAAAAAAAAATCTGTTGGAGTTGAAATTTTGTCAAGTTTCACTTCAAATTTGAGTTTTATGACAGTTGTTAAATTGAAATAGATAGCTTTCCAAAGCTCCAAAAAAAACCCACCCAATATTGTTTTTAAGTTGCAAAAATACAGAGTGAATTAAATAAGAAGCACATTTTTAGTATTTCTCAAAACAATTGTAGCTCCTACTAGAAATAAAATGAATATATTAGCTTTATTATGTGTACACAGTTAGTACTACTCAATGTAGAAGGAAATAATCCACAATAGTCAAAAAATTCAACTAATATTTGAGTAAACAGTGAGGAAAATGGAACCACAATAGTTTGGATTTTTTGACACAGCTGAAAATTGATCTGTTTATTAAACAAAAAGATCTCAGGGAGAATAGTAAAACCAACTTTCTACAAAGTGACTGCAACAAGCAGGATCCTTAGAATATTATGCACAAAATCTTTTACAAAGATATTTTAAATCTTTGTTTTGGATTCTGTCATTGTACTCTTGTAGTACCTTTAACCTATATTAATTCTTCTGAAAATAATAACTGATTGATCACAACCAGGACAGAAGTAAAATTAACCATTTTGAAAATATGTAAATATCAAACTTATATTCTATAGTTTTTATGGTTTGATTGAAGCAAATTATTGAAATAAAATTAATTAATTATTTTCGTGAATAGTCTCGTGATGTAAAAGAATGAAATCCATTTTTTAGACATTATAGTATATAAGTAAAGAGCCTTCGCATTAAGTGGTTATATTTTCGGAGCATGATCAGGAAAACTTTAAATTCCATTCTAGAAAGGAATTCATCCAGACTATGATGTGATTTCTGCAGTTCCAGATGTCATGACCCTGTTTCTGTGATGAATCATGTAGTTTTGTGGGTAGGCAAATAGGACAAAGTCTTTCTCCTTGCACCAGAAGAAGAAGTTATGCCTTACTGTTGCTTCAGGCCTTTTGATTTTCTTCTCCTTGTTGTGGTCAGAAGAGATATTCCTGACCCTGTAATGTTGTTCTTGGACTTCTGATGAGTTCTGTAATGAGATCTGGACTTCTGACGAGTGCTCAGGGTGACCCCAGTATTGTGAGTATAAGCATTTTGGAGTGTTAGTAAATACATTTTTATTCTGCCCACATTCAGAACCTTTTGAGAAAGAGATGTGGGAATCAGACACAGTCATGAATGTAGCTGTATTACTTACAGAAGTTACACTGGGGACATGGTTTAGATGTGAGATTAGTGGGTTTTCCAATATTGAATTCCAGAACTAAACTTACCTATTCCAAGGCAGAGCTGGATCAACCCAGATTTTCCTCTACCCTTGCCTGATGAAGTCTAGTGGGAGGGCAAGTGTGAATGTATTCTCTCTGCAGAATTGCTGAGCCAAGCATGCCCGTTTCTTTGAAATCCACAAATCAGATAACTCAATTATAGAACCAACCCAGATGCCCTTCAATAGATGAATGGATAAAAAAAAATGTGGCATTTATATACCATGGAGTATTACCCAGCACTAAAAAATGACAAAATCATGGAATTTGCAGGGAAATGGATGGCACTAGAGCAGATTATACTAAGTGAAGCTAGCCAATCCCTAAAAACCAAATGCCAGATGTCTTCTTTGATATAATGAAAGCAACTAAGAACAGAGCAGGGAGGAAGAGCAGGAGGAAAAGATTAACATTAAACAGAGACATGAGGTGGGAGGGAAAGGGAGAGAAAAGGGAAATTGCATGGAAATGGAAGGAGACCCTCATTGTTATACAAAATTACTTATAAGAGGTTGTGAGGGGAATGGGAAAAAAATAAGGAGAGAAATGAATTACAGTAGATAGGGTAGAGTGAGAAGATAGGAGGGGAGGGGAGGGGATGGGGGATAGTAAAGGATAGGAAGGGCAGCAGAATACAACAGACACTAGTATGGCAGTATATAAAACAGTGGATGTGTAACTGATGTGATTCTGCAATCTGTATTTGGGGTAAAAATGGGAGTTCATAACCCACTTGAATCTAATGTATGAAATATGATATGTCAAGAGCTTTGTAATGTTTTGAACAACCAATAAAAAAAAAAGAAGCCAGGAAGGTTATGCTATTGGAAGTTAAACATGGAAACATAAGGAGCAGAGGGAGATAAATATTTCTCCCTAATGTCTAGCCACTAAAACCTAAGTCAATGTTACGTTAATTTAAGAACATAAATTTTTCCTCTTAAGTAAGGGAACCTTTAGCGTTTTGCTTTATATGTAGAGGTAACAATATTTGTTAGTAGCTTTATTTCATTTGTGCAGTATACCTGATAAAATGTACATATGAATTTATATTTATACATTAATTTTAAATATTTAAATAAATATGTAAATATTTTTAATATGCTTAGGAGGAGGCACACCTAAACTACTTATTTATTTTACACAGATAGAGTATAACTTGTTATTTCTTTGGTTGTACATGATGTAGAGTTACACCATTCATGCATTCATACCCATATATTGGGGTAATAATGTCCATATCATTCTATCATCTCCCCCGCTTACTCCTCTCCTTCTCTGCTCAATCCAAAGTTTCTCCCTTCTTCCCTTGCCTCCTGTTCATTATGGATCAGTATCCACTTATCCGAGAATATATTTGTCCTTTGGTTTTGTGGGATTGGCTTACTTTGCTTAGCATGATATTCTCTAGTACGGTCCATTTACCCATAAATGCCATAATTTCATTCTTCTTTAAGACTGAGTACTATTCTATTGTGTATTTATATCACAGTTTCTTTATCCATTCGTCTATTGAAGGACACCTAGGTTGTTTCCACAGTTTAGCTATTGTGAATTTGAGCTGCTGTAAACATTGAAGTGGCTGCATCTCTGTAGCGTGCTAATTTTAAGTCCTTTGGAGATAGACTGAGGAGTTGGGATAGCTGGGTCAAATGGCATTCCATTCCAAGTTTGCTAAGGTTATCTCCATAATGCTTTCCAAAGTGGTTACACCATTTTGCAATCCCATCAGCAATGAATTACACCTTTTGTTCCACATCTTTGCCAGTAGTTATTGTTGCTTGATTTTTTGATAACTGCCATTCTGTTGAAGTGAGATGAAATCTTTGAATAGTTTTGATTTGCATTTCTCTAATTGCTAGAGATGTTGAACACTTTTTCATAAATTTGTTGATTGATTGTATGTCTTCTTCTGTGACGTATTTGCTCATTTCCTTATCCCATTTATTGATTGGGTTATTTGTTTTTTTGGTGTTAATTTTTTTGAGTTCTTTATTTAATTTTAATTATAAATAAATATATAAATATTTTAATATGCTTATAAGGAGATGCACCTAAATAATTTATAAGGTGAGACATTTTGGCTAATTTATCTATAAAATTAAAAAAGAAAAAAATTGAGTTAACATCAGTCAGGTTTATTGATAATGTTTATCTTGATTAAAGATCTGTGGGATATTTCCTAGGAGTTGATGACATTTATTACATGAAAGAGAGTGGCCTTCTCAGAAATGTAATCATAGGCATAAGTAGTAAAAAGCCTTTCTCAGGGCCCATAATATCTAAGCAAATAGAACTGATATATACATCTAGGTGGTCAATTAGAATTAATTAATCTATGTATGTATGTATGTATGTATGTATCTCCCTAACGGATACTAGCATTCTTGGAACCAGCTCAATATCTCACTGTAACTAGGTTTACTTGGGAAGCTTTAGGATCTCCAGCCACTTTTTGGCCTCCTGGTTTACATGGCTTCACTAGTCAGTTCTATCAAACCCATTCAGAGAACAGGAAAAGAGAAAACTTTATTCCCTTGTTTTATGAGGCTGCCATACTTTTGATACCAAAATCCAACTGGAGAATTATTGCAAAAGAGAATGAATGTTCAGTCTTAACGCTAACCATAGATATAAAAATTCTAAACCAAATAGTAACAAACTGAACCCAGAGAGTTTAAATAGGATAATATATCATGATCAACTTCTGCTTAATCCATCAATTTAAGGATGCAATAGCATTAAAAAGTGATCAGTATAATTTTCTATATTAATAGAATAAAAGATCACTTTGAAAGACATAAATAAATCACTTGGTAGAATTCAGTGTACATTCTTGATTTAAAAACTCCTTAGTCGCCTAGGGAAAAAATTAATTCCACAGTCTAATAAAGGATAGCTATGAAAATATCACAACAAACAAACCTAAATGTTGAAGTGTTAAAGGCTTTCCTTTTCAAACAAAGGACAAAACAAGATTTCTCATTACCACTACTTCTATCCAGTATTGTGCTGGAAGTCCTAGATTATGTAATGAGGAAAACAAAATAAATTAAAAAATTAGGTTTGAAATAAAGAACTAAAACTCATTACCAGTAGGTATGATTGTGCTGATACACATATAAACAAATTTGTAGATTCATTTAAGTGAGTGCAACAATTTTGATGAAATCAAAGTCAATATAAGAAAATCAATTGCATTTTCTGTATTAACAACAAATAGTTAGAATATGAAATTTTAAATA